GGTGTGCAGGCTGTTGGCCTCTGAGCCTCGGCTCCCGGCCCTGCTGGGCAGCATCTCGCCAGCCACCGAGCCACACTGCCTGGAGGTCTGCTCCGCCCCACCTCCAGCCTCTGTGGCCCTCAACTCAGCAAGGACAGTGTGCCGAGCCGGCATGGCCAGGGGTGAGCCTTGAGGGGGGGGGGGGCGGTGAAGGATGGAGAAGACAGACAAGAGAAGAAAGCTGGGGTCGGTGGGATGCTGCCCTCTGATAGCGCCACGGCCTGCAAGCCGAGTCTCTATTTTATAGCCAGATTCCAGGAGGCAAAGCAAGGGCGACGTCAAGACAGCTACAACGTTCTCGCAGGTTTCAAATCCACTCAATGACAGGCACCTGGTCAAGCTCTGTTTCCTTGCTGCACCTCCTGCTGCCCACATCACTCAGCGACGTGGGCCCACAGGTTCGGACCATAAGGTCAAGCTCACAGCCACGGCCTCTGGCTGTCGTTGTGCGGGGACTTGCACGTGGCTTTGCCACGAGAGGACCGTGCCCTCTCATTAGTCCGAGGCTTGAACCTGTCCAAACGCTGTAGCCGCTCCCCACAGACAGTGGGCCAGGCCAGGTGCTGGATTCAAAGGCTCAGAGGACACCCCGAAACCTGCCCTCCCTCCCGTTCCCCACGTGGGGGCCGCCAAGGGCAGGTGAGTTGGTCCGATGTTCAGCTCTTGGCCGCAATGAGTGGCATTTGTTTAAAAACCAGCTTTTCTGTACACGAGACGTGGAGAGATGCAGGCCGCAGAGGAGGTGACTGTGATGGGCCGGAGACAGCCCGGCTGCGACGCTTCCCTTTAACTCGGCGCACAGACGCGGCGTCTCCCCCTTCCCCGCCCCCCCCCCCCCACTTGGACTCTCGTGTCCCCGCTGGTTCCGTGAGCACACGCTGCCGACACTGTGGCATGGCCACCGTCTGTAGCGGTACTTTTGATTAAAGGACATTCCCGTTTGGGGCTGGAACCTTCTGTGTCCCACGTCCTGGCCACAGACGCGAGGGGGGCTACCATGGACACCTCCGTTCCATATTTCTCAGCGGGACTTCTAATTGATTTTCCTGCAGCCCCGGGGCCAGGAGTCCGGAGTCCAGGTGTGGGCCTGGCTGCGCTCCCTTCGAAGGCTCTGGGGAAGGGCCCTTCCTCACCTTTTAAATCTTTTAAAATGTATTTTTATTGATTTCAGAGAGGAAGGGAGGGGGGAGAGAGGAACGTCGATGAGCTGTTGAAGGCAGGCACGGGGCGAATTCCCCCTGGGACCGTGTTTGCTATTTTAAACCCTCAAGTCCTCAGTTAGATGAGAGCCCGTTTAAAGGCCCCGGAAGGAGCAGGGCAGCCCACGGCAGGCGGCGCGCTCCGCGGGTGGGCCCCCGTGGCCTTGGTGTCTGTGGAAACCCGCTTGCCGAGGAGCCTGGGTCCTCCGTGTCACGCGTGCCCTGTCACGGGGCATCCCACACCCGAGGGAGACCCTAGGACAGGGAGAGCCGTTCGGAGACGCACAGAAAGACGCATGGACGTACGGACGCGATGGCAGACACGCGGGACAGGAGTGTGGGGCCTTCCTCGCCTGCACGGGTGCCCCTCCCTCCACCCACGGCCACATTCCCTTTCAGCGTCCAGTCCGACGTTTGTAAACTTACGCCCTCGGCCAGGAGGCGGCACACCCCCAAGTGGGAGCCTGCAGGCCCCGGCCTGGTCAGGACGCCACGAAACAGGAGACATAGCAGGGCGTGTGGGGAAGAGCGTGCAGGAGTGTGTGTGTGTGTGTGTGTGTGTGTGTGCGTGCGTGCGCGCGCGCGCATGCACGCGAGCAGCCGATCAATGTTTCTCCCTTTTTCTCTCTAAACTTATCCTTGGGTGAGGATTTATTTTAAAAATCACATCTCCACAGGCAGGAGTAGATAGGATGGGGAGACTGATGGGCTGGTGGGGGTGGGGGTGCGGGTGCGGGGAGGGGGTGGGAAGTGGGAACCTAGGCCTCCATCCAAGGGGATTGAAAACACATGTCCACACGGATCACAGCAGCTTCATTCATGACAGCCCCAAAGTGGAAGCAGCCGGTGTGGGTCCGAGGGTCCACGGGGTTGGGAACAGCCGTGGAGGGACGGTGGGCGGCAGCAGCCACAGGAGATCACGGGTGAAGCGGCACCTGGACACGTCTCCGAGGGCCATGCTCAGGGAGCGGCCGGCACAAGGCATTCCACACTGTCTGCTCCCATTTCTATTTAAAAACGACATATTTCACTGATGTCAGAGAGGAAGGGAGAGGGAGAGAGAGAAACATCAATGATGAGAGAGAATCACGGACCGGCTGCCTCCTGCACACCACCCCTCCCTCCCGAGCCCCCAGCTCAGGGCTCAGAGGACTGAGGTGCCCGCTGCCCTCAGTCAACCCGCGCCAGCTGAGAGTGGCGGGTAACCATGGCAACGGATGCTCCTGCAGCCCCGGGAGGCCGGGGTGGCTGGGTGGGGGCGTGCGCTGTTCACCCCGGGACCGGACCGCAGATGGGGGGAGGGGAGGCGCACGAGGAGCTGCCCGGCGGGTCCCAGGCGCCCCTCGACTTCAGAGGCTGCTTGGGGAAGGGGGCGCCGCCTCCTGGTGACCCTGCGGGGCTGCTCTAGAGGAGACGGCCTCCGACAAGGAGCTTTCGCGGGAAGGATCAGGAAGGCCGGCGGGAGGCGGTGAGTCAGCCACGGTCGCCAGCACCTGGACCGGCCGCGAGGCGTGGCCGGGCCGGGACTTTCTCCAGACCCCGGTCGAGTCCATGAACTTGGACGGTGAAGTGCAGCGTCGGTTTCCAGGCTGCCCTTCCCGAGCGCCTCTGCCCCGCGGCCGGGAAGGTGCAGGGCGCCTGGGGGCCACAGGGCCAGTCCGCAGAGGGAGTCCTGCACGCCGGCCACGGGAGGCCGAGTGCTGCCTTCCGGAAGCGTCCCGGGTGACCACACCCCGGGCAGGCAGAGGAGGCAGCCAGGAGCGTGGGCAGCCTGCACAGGTTCGCGGCCCAGCCTCCTTGATCCACTGGGTCAGGCCCTCAGACACCCGCGCTGTTACTCACTCACTGCTTTTAACGCAACTTGGTCTTTTTTTTTTAATATGTCTTTATTGATTTCAGAGAGGAAAGGAGAGGGGGAGAGAGAGAGAGAGAGAGAGAGATCAATGATGAGAGAGGAACATCACTGATTGGCTGCCTCCTGCACGCCCCCCACTGGGGATCGAACCCTCAACCCGGGCACGTGCCCTGACCGGGAATCAAACCGTGACCTCCTGGTTCATAGGTCAACACTCAACCACTGAGCCACACTGGCCAGGCTTTGACTTCAGTTAATTTTAAAATAAAGTAAGTGGACAAACAGTAGCACTTGCCCAAACCTAAAGGTGATCATGGAAACAGGTACCACGCACATGACACGTGCAACGCTGCGTCCTGGCAGCTGCCCCAAGGGCTCTGGGCCCGGGGCCTGCGGCTGCACCGGGGAGGTGCCCAAGGCCTAGGGCAGTGATGGCGAACCTATGACACGCGTGTCAGAGGTGACACGCGAACTCATTTTTTTGGTTGATTTTTCTTTGGTAGATGGCATTTAAATATCTAAAATAAAAGTCTTTGTTTTACTATGGTTGCAAGTATCAAAAAATTTCTCTATGTGACACGGCACCAGAGTTAAGTTAGGGTTTTTCAAAATGCGGACACGCCGAGCTCAAAAGGTTCGCCATCACTGGCCTAGGATCTCGGACCAGAGACTCTGCTGGAGAAACAGGCTGGGGGGGGGGGGGGTGTAGCTCCTGAATGGAGCACGTGGAGCACGTGGAGCACGCGGGCCTCCCCCGCCTGCGCTGAGGGCTGAGCTGTTAACTGCTCTGCTCACTGGCCCAGGTGAGGCAGGTGCCGCCAGCCCTGACGCACAGCTGAGGCCGGAGCGGTCAGCCGCCTGCCGCCGGCCGCAGAGCCCGGAGCTGCGGAGTGTTGGAGTGGGGCTCAGGTGGCGCCCGCATACTCGCTGCCCTCAGCCATGCAGCCCGAAGCCGGCTCAGGCCCCTCGTTCCTGCCCCCGCGTCAGCCAACCCATGGGGCTTTTAGGGGTCACCTGTGACACCAGACGCCTGGGCTGGCAGTTCTTCATGTGGGACGGACCAGGTTCTTTCTCTTTTCTGTTTGAAAAGCCAATCAAGAGGCTAGGCCAAGCAGGCCCGGCCCTTGTGGGCTCTTGGCAGCGTCAGGCTGGGCACCTTTGGGGGACCTGGGGGCCGGTTTGGCCGCTCCGGCACCGGCACCAGCGAGCGCTCACGGCACCTGGGAGGTGGATGCACTTAGAGACATCGCCTGGCCCCGCGACCAGGTAAGGACAGGAGGCCGGTCCTCAGTGCGGGCGGGCTGGCCTGGGCGTCGGTTGGGGCTGGGCTGCAGGCAGCGGGCGTGGGGGGCGCTTCCAGGACCCTTGGGTGAGGGCCACGGCGCTGCAGCCTTCAGGCGGAGCTGCCGGTTAGGCCGCTGTGGGGGGAGGCTGGGATGGATCCAGAGACCGGATGGCGCTCCGGCCACAGGGAGAAGCCAGAGGCCCAGGCGGGGAGGAGGGAGTCACAGGTGAGGAGCAGGCAGGTCCTGGGGGGCCCATAGTGGGAGACAGGCTGGGGCAGGAGCTGGTCTGACTCTTAACCAGTGGGTTTGAGCGCACAGCCCTTGAAGTGGCTCAGCGTCCGTGCGTCTGGGTGACTAGGGGCTGGACAGTGCCCCTTCGGGTCCTGGCCTGGCCCCCCCGCCCCCCTGGAGACAGGTGATGCCCACTCTCTCTTGAGAGCCCCCAGGGGTGTGTTTATTCCTAGTCGCCCCCACAGGCTCACACATGTGCTCACACCCCCTTCCCCCCACAGGGCGCTGCTATTTGCCGCGTTTTAACGTGCTTTTTGCTGAACAATGTGGCTCGGGGGTTCTCGTTCCCCATCTTGTCACAGGAGCCCTCTTGTCCCCCAGCCCTTTTCTTTTCACGTGCGGCCCACGCCGCCACCACCTGTCCCTGGCGTCCACCGGAATGAATGGTGCCGCGCTGTGATGTCCTGAGGACCAGGCGTTTATTCCCCCCGGCAGCGGCAGGCTTCGGGAGGGAGCCGCACCCACGCTGGCCCGGTGCCTCCTAAGGCGCAGGCGTGTCCTTATCCCATGGGCGCTTTCTGGGGCGCAGCGTCCTCCTGTGACTGCGCCCGGGAGCAGCAGCTGGCCAGCCCCGACGGGGACGGGCCCGAGGCCGGGAGTTCGAGGGGCAAAGCTTCCGGCTGCCTGCCTGGCCCCCTCCGGGGCTGGAGGCCACGGTCCGGTCTGTGGTCCAGGACAGGGTCCAGCGCGACCCTCCTGCCCGTGATACCTTCCCGAGCGGGCTCCCGCGCGCCCTCGTGTGGCTACAGATGGAGGCACCGCTTCAGGGACAGGCCCCGCAGAGGGAGGAGGGAGGAGGGAGAAGGGAGGAGGGAAGTGCCAGGTGCCGTCTGGGCCTGTGTGTTCGCAGAACCTAAGCCTGGGCAGGGGCCGGACTGCCAGCGCCATAACGGAGCATGGGCCGGGGCTGAGGGGACACTGAGGCCCGCGGGCGCCATCTCTGGACAGCTGGGCAGGCAGTCCACGGCGTCCGGCATCACCAGGGCAGCTGCGGAGGCTCCTGGCAGAGAGGATGGGGGGGATGAGGACGGGCCGCTGGGGAGAGGAGGCGTGTGGGGAGTGTGGGTGGGAACCAGGCGTGTGGGCCCATCCCTCTCCGTCTCGCTGCCCCGACCTCCTCGCGGCTCAGATGCTCCGTCCTTCATGGGCTCAGGCACCCCCAGGGCTTCAGGCACCCCCAGGGCCTCGCACCCCACCCAGCCTCAGGCCCATTTCCTGTGTCCTCCACTCCACCCACCTCCACCCCAAGGCCCGCCCTTAACGCATCGGAATCGGTTCATTGCCCCCCTTCACCCTGCCACCAAGATGTGCTGCCCTGACCTGGGGTGACCTCTGACCTCGGGTGACCTCCGAACTGGCAGTGCCTGTCCCTACCTGTGCTCCTGCCCCGTGTCTGTGCCCATTTAGTCACCACGTCAGACCCTGGCGCGGCCCTGCGGCACCCCCCCCCCCACGCCCCGTCCTCTCGGCCATGGTTCCCTTTGTCCTGTTGCCTCCTGGCTCCCAACGGGGCCCCAGGGGTCCCACCCTCCCTCCACCTCCTGGGCCCTGACCTTGAGCGATGGGCATTATGCGACCTTGGCCAGGAGAACTGCAGCCACCAGCAGGCCTGTCATCAGGGCGGGGCAGCCGCCAGCCAGGGGGGCAGACCCTATGGAGAGTCGGAGGGCCCCGTGGGTGAGGGACGGGGGAGCGTGTCACCACCCCAACTGCTCCCAGAGCCGCCCCACGAGCCCCCTGAAGTCACCTCAGCACCCCTCTTGTTCCCCTCCCCAGTGCCCCCCCTCCTCCCCTCCCCCCTGTGGTCCAGCTCCCAGATGACCTTTGCCACTGAGACGGGTCAGGGGGTGGGGGTGGGGAGCTGGCAGAGGGTGACTCCAGGAAGGAATCCCTCTGTGGAGCCTGGGCCCCCCGGGACCAGGAGCCTGGAGGGGCTTCACCCCAAAGCCTGCCCCTGGGCCGACACCCCTGGTCCTCAGCCTGGCGCCTTGAACACGCTCCTGTCCCTGTTCACCCTCCCACTCTGCTGAGGACAGGGAAGGAGAAGGCGCCCCACGTGGCTGGGGGGCACCTGTTCAGGGCAGGCACCCCGTCTGCAGCCACGGGGGGCGGTGCAGGGGAGGGCGGGCCTCACCTGAGTGGGTGGTGGTGGACGGGGTGCTGGGGCCGCCGTCGCCCTCGGGCATGAGCATGGGCAGCAGGGCGCGGGGGTCCCCGTCGTTGGCCTCGGGCACGATGCGCAGCAGCTGGCACAGCAGCTCGTACACGTGGACGCTCTCGAAGGGCTCCACCTCCAGGCCCCGCCGGAAGCTGGGGCCCACCGCCCGGAAGATGGTCTTCATGTCCAGGACCCCGTTGTCGAAGCCGTGCTCCCCGTTGTTGAACTGCACGTTCACCCTCTGCGAGGTGGGGGCGGGGGGCGTCCTGAGTCCTCGTGGGACTCCCGGCCCTCCGCCAGCCCCCCTTCCCCTCAGCGCCCCCGCAGCGCGGGCAGAGGAGCCCCAAAGAGTTCGGACGTGGGGGCGGGGGGTTCTGAGCCTTAAAAGGTTGGTGGCCTAAAGCCAGCGCCTCTGCCAGGACCCGTGACATAAACGGGGACCCCAGCACCGGGGACCCCAGCAGGCAGGCGGAGCTGCCCCAGCCGCACGGGCTCTGCCGCCAGCACTTCCTCCCGGCCCCTCCCGCTGCCTGCGTCTCGCTTCCCTGAGCACCACCCTGGCCTCTCTGAGCGGCTTTGTCCCTGTCACTCTTATGGCTGATCTCTCCACACGTCACCCTACATGCATGTGCACACACGCACACACATGCACACAAAACACACAGACGTGCACATAAGCACACACAGGTATATGCATACACAAACACACATGTACACAAACACACTCATGTGCAACACCTACATAGGCGCTCATGCACACCTAAGCACACAGTGCACCAACACACATGCACACGTAACATTACACAAACACAGGGCGTGCACACACATGTGCCCATGTACATGCACGCACACCTATTGCATAGTGATGACTGCATCCCTTTGATGGTCAATGTCCCTCAGCTTGGGGAATAGCTAGAAATAGGGGGTGCTCTTCATAGGGCTGGGAAGAGACCCAGCAGCCCCCCCCCCGGCCCCCGCGCCCCACCACGTGCACACGCAGGCAGCTCACCCCGTGGATGACGTAGCCAGGGTCACTGTACATGAGCAGGGGCGTGATCCGGGGGTGGTTGGCGTAGTGGAAGGACTTGGGGAAGTCCTCCTTCTTGTAGACGTGGAGTTTGGGGTGCGCGTCCTTGAGCGCCTCGTACACCTTCTCCAGCCGCCCCTCCTTGGGGAGCAGCATCCCGTTGGGCCCGTAGTCCAGGAGCTCGAACTCGATGTCCTTGAAGGTGAAGTTGGGGAACTTGTGGAACTCCACCAGGTCGCCGGCCTTCTTGTGCACGGTGGTCATGCCGTGGTCGGACGTGATGATGAGGTTGAGGCTGCGCTCCAGGCCGCTGCGCCGGATGCTGTCGCGCAGGTAGCCCACCGTCCTGTCCACCTGCTGCACCATGGCCTTCCTCTGCGGGGACTCGGGCCCGAACTTGTGGCCCGTGGAGTCGGGCTCCCCGAAGTAGAGCGTGACCAGGTCCAGGCCGTCCTGCGTGAACCAGCGCATCACCGTGTCCACGTTGGCCCTCCACTCCGCCTCGTCCTTGTAGTTGTGCAGGATGCCTTCCTTGCGGCTCAGCGTCACGGCCGTGCCTTGGTAGGTGACGTTGCCGCCGGGGAAGAAGAAGGAGCCGGCCTTCAGGCCCTGCGGGGAGGCAGCCATGACGCACAACCCCGCCGCCGGCCCCCCCTCGCGTCCCCCGCCCCCGGCACAGGGCGCCCCTGCCCGGCGTGTGTCTGCCCGCTCGCCCATCCCCGCGCCTACCGCTGTCCGAACCTTTTCATTTTCTTTTTATTTAAATTGATTTTTTGTATATTGACTTGGTATCCTGCAACCCTGTTGGACTTACTCTTTTAAAAAATATATGTTCTTATTGATTTTTAGAGAGGAGGGGAGAGGGATAGAGAGATGGAAACATCAATGACAGAAACATCATCGAATGGCTGCCTCCTGCACACTCCCCACAGGGGAGCGCGCCCATAACCCGGGCATGTGCCCTGACCAGGGATCCAGGAATCGGACCGGTGACCTGGCTCCTGGGTCGCTGCTCGACTGCTGAGCCACACCAGCCGGGCGAGCCTCCTCATCGTCTGAGAGGCCTCCCTATCTGGGCCGGGCCGAGACTACAGAGGAGGGAGCAGGTGCGCGGCGGACTCCGCACTAATGAGATGACAGACAGGTGTCCCCAGATATGCGGTGTCCTCACTGCCACGGGCCCCAGGGTGCTGCCCGGGGGCTGGGGTGCCCCAAGAGCCCCCCTTTCTGGCCTGCAGCCCGGCCTCTCCCTGCCATGTTCACATCCAGGAGTGCGTCGGCCCCTCCACCGTGCCCCACCCTGTCCTTCCAGCCTTCAGCCTGGTCATCTGTCCGTCCGTCTTTCCATCAACCACCTGCTGCTCTATTTACACAGACCCACCTGCCCCCCCAGCTGCCTGTCCCATGTGGCCACTGCCCGTGCAGCCCCCCAGGCCAAGCTCTCAGCCTTGGTGCAGGGCGGGGGCGCAGGCCGGGGCATGGGGCCCGATGGCCATGGGGTGCCTGAGCCCGGCGTTGGGCAGCTCCATTTGGAGCTGGGGGCTCAGACTTGGGGGGTGCCCTCCACTGGACATCACTGACAAGGAGCAACACCCCCAGGGCTAGGAAGCCCCCAGGACATTTCGGGGTGATGGGGTTCCTGGGCTGACACGACAGCTCCATTTATTTTACCTTCGCCCCCGGGGTCTAGCTGCCCAGCCTGTGAGGGGTGCGGGCGGGGGAGGGGACAAAGCCGTTTTGTGGTCACACCCCTTTGTGTCGCGTGGGGTCCTTTTCCCGTGCGTGGGGTCCTTTTCCCGTGCGACCCCTTCCCCAAATGCCAAAGGGTCCCCAGGGGTGGCTTCCTGTCTGACTGGGAGGATGGAGCCGCCCCTCTGGGTCCCAGGCTCCGGGGGGACACCGGGCAGGACTGGGCAGCCCCCGGCAGATCCCATGACTTCCCGGCGCCCGCCCCGGGGACCACGCTGCCCGCCCTTCTGTGCCGGGAGCCTGGGCCTCCCCGGGGGCCATGGCCTGCCCGTGCTCGGGCGGGAGGAGGGCGTACCTGCCTCTGGGCGGTGATCCAGATGGGCACGCTGCCGTTGTCCCACCAGCGCTGGACGCCCAGCGTGGCGTGGTAGGGCAGCTTGAGCTTGCTGCTGGTGTTATAGAACATGTTGTGCACCACCCCGTGGTTCTCGATGTACTTGCCTGCGGGGAGGCGGAGGGAACGGGCCAGGCTTGTCACCACGGGCACGGGCACGTGCTCCAACCCGGTGGCCCCGCCCCGCCCTGCCCCACCCCGTGCCCGTGCAGTACCCACTGGGAGGCATCGCTTGCAGCCTCATCAGTTTTAGCAAAAGATCAGTGTGGCCCTAGCTGGTGTGGCTCAGTGAACAGAGCGTCGGCCTGCAGACTGAAGGATCCTGGGGTCTATTCCCATCAAGGGCACAGGCCGGGGTTGCAGGCTCGATCCCCAGTGGGGGTGTGCAGGAGGCAGCCGATCAATGATTCTCTCTCGTCATTGATGTTTCTCTCCCTCTCCCTTCCTCTCTGAAATCAATTTAAAAAAAACTGGTGGTGCCCGTGTGGCTCTCGGGAGGGATAATGATGCAACCAGGATCCAGCCCCAGCAGAGCCAGGCGCGTGGATGGGCCGCTCCAGTTTGTGTTGCGTGGAAACGCCCACACGGGAGCTCGGGTGCAGGAGGAGGCGCCGTGAGGGCGTGCGCTGCCCCCCCCCCCCCCCGCGATGCGTGAAGTGAAAAGGTGGCGCGCAGGCGGGACAGCCGGTGCTGTGGTGGGTGTCAGGGCTGTGGTCACAGAAACGCTGGCGTGAGGACGAGCCGCCTGCACGGAATAGTGGCCCCCAAAGTCGTGCCACCAGCGTCTCAGAAGGCGACCTTGTTTGCAGATGGGGTCATGGCAGATGTGATGTGTTAGGTTAAGATGAAGGGGAGCCCAGCCGGCGTGGCCCAGTGGCTAGAGCGCCGGCCTGTAGATCCACGTGTCCTGGGTTCGATTCCCGTCAAGGGCATGTACCTCGGTTGCAGGCTCCGGCCCGGCCCGGGCCCTGGTCAGGGTCGTGCAGGAGGCAACCAATCGATGTGTCTCTCTCACATCAATGTTTCTCTCTGTCTTTCCCTCTCCCTCCCTCACTCTCTCTAAAAATCAATGGAAAAATACCCTGAGTGAGGATTTTTTTTAAAAAAAGATGAAGCTGGAGCCGCAGATTCATCTCTGAGTCCCGGCCACACTCAGCTCCTCTGGGCGGCCTCCTGGGTCGCCCCCAGGCTGTTGCCAGAGAGACCACGGCCCGTGTTTATCCGCTATCAGATGCCACCAATGCTGGGGGCTGTTCTCCCCACGAGTGTCCCCTCCTGGCTCCCCTTTGTCCCCACGCGGGGCCCGGGACGGCTGTGTGCACACCCTGTCCCCCGGCTTCTCAGCCCCCGCCGCCCAGGCCCCGTCGCAGGCGCACTCACCGGTGACCAGGGTGAAGTGGCAGGGGCTGGTCATGGTGACGAAGGGGGGCGTCATGTGGCGCGCCTTCACGCCGTCCAGAGCCATAGCGTCCAGGTTGGGGGTGTCCACGTCCTGGTCGTAGTCCCAGCGGAAGCCGTCAAAGGACACCAGGAGCAGCTTGTGCCGGGCGCCCTGCCGGCCCACGGGCGCCCCGGCCCCCGGGGCGAGCAGGGCGGCCAGGGCCGCGGCCAGGAGGGCAGCCGGGAGGCTCATGGGGGGTTGTCGGAGGCGCCAGGGCCGGGCGTGTTCCTGCCGCGGACGGAGCAGAGCAAAGTCCCAGGGTCACCGGGCCTCCGATCCGTGCGCCTTCGCGAGCGAGACTGTGCTCTTACCTGTGTCTCAGGAGGAGGCCCTGGTGGCCCGTGGCCGTGTCGCCTGCCTTTATTGCCCACGCTCCTCCCCCGTGGGCGTGTGCCCTCCTGGGAGGGGTGGGGCCAGGCCCGAGGATCAGAGAGCAGAAGGGGCCCTCCATGGGGTGGCCTGGCCTCCACCCGCTCTCTCGGTCCCCGGGCCCTGCTCACTCTGACCCACAGCCTGACATGTGGGGAGGCCTCTGGGGTCTGCGGGCCTCGGGCCTGCCTGGGCCAGGGCTGTGGGAGGGGCTTCCCAGGGTCAGGGGACCGAGGGCCACGGGGAGCCCACCCTGGGAGACCCCTGGCTGCTCAGGTGAGGGGTCTCCTGGGACGGGGTGGGCGGAGCCACCCTGGGGGCCTGGTCAGCATAGCCTCGCCTCCCCCTGTCCCTGTGGAGCCTCAGGGAGGCGCGGGCTTGGGCAGCCTCGTCAGCAAGGTGGACAGAGAGGGGTTCCCTTGTCACCTGTGCTCATGGGTGGGGGAGAGTGTGAGGGGAGCCCTGGGCGGGGCACGGTTCTGCTACTATCTTGTCTCTCTCTATCTCTGTCTCTCTATCTTTATTCTCTCTATCTCTATCTTTATCTCTCTCGCTGTATCTCTGTCTCTCTAGCTTTATCTCTCTGTCTTTATCTCCCTTCTCTCCCTATCTCTCCATCTCTGTGTCTTTTCTGTGTCTCTCTCCCTACCAACCTTTTTTTTTTTTTTAATGCCCTTGACTGGAATCGAACCTGGGACCCTTTGGTCCACAGGCTGACGCTCTGTCCACTGAGCCAAACCGGCTAGGACTTACCACCCTTTTTAAAAAAGTTGAATTTATTGGGGTGACCCTGGTTCATACCCCACCACCACCTGATGGAGCTGCTCTTTGTACCGGACACTGCTCTAAGCTCCGGGGACCCCGCGTGAGGGCGGCAGGCGTGCTCCTGACTGCGTCCATCTCGCTGGGGACACACACAGTAAAAGGACACGAGTGGGACAGGCAGCAGTGAGTCGCCACGGGGAGTGAAGCAGGAGACGGATCGGGTGACCGTGGGCAGCACCTGGTGGGCGGTGGGCAGGGCCTCCTGAGAGGGTGGTTCTGGGGGGCCGAGGCCATGGTGTGCAGTCCGCGTCCATAGCCCTGCAGCGGGCAAGCAGGGCCTGGCACCCGCGGGTCTAACAGAGGGGCAGCCCGCTGCAGGTCAGGGTGTGGGCAGGAGGCAGGAGTGGGCTGGGTGCTGGGCGGCGAGTGGTGGTGCCGTCCTCAGGCCATGGCCGTGGCCCAGACACGGTGGGGCCGTGGGAGCCAAGGAAAGGGAGCAGCTCGGGGATGCCCAGTTCCCACGGAGCAGCTGGGGTGACGGTGTCACCTGTGACGGGGGTCAGCGGGAGGTCACGGGAGGAGCAGGGCACGGACGAGGGGCAGGAGGGGCGCGCTCGGGCTGAAGCGGGAGGCCGGCCGCAGAGGAGCCTGGATTCTATGCGAATCCAATCTAATACCTAATATAACATTTAATGTAAAATCCCATTCTTCCCAAGAAGATGGCCTCCAAGGAGAAAGACTACATTTCCCAGCATTCTCTGCAGCGAGGCTTGGCCATGTGACTACATGCTGGCCAATGGGACCAAAGACAAGATGATGAGCCCGCCTGGGCCTCTGCCACAGTTCAGGTGTGCTGCACCCCGTTCTGATTCTGCTCCCCCTGGTCCCCGAGCTCAGAGCTGCCCTGAGCCGAGCCGCGAAGAGGAGGGGCGCGGCCTGGGGTGGGGCCGGCGCCCCCCGGAGAGAACCAGCCGTGTCCTGGGTTTTGTGTCACTGGCCACAGGACCCGACCCACGCGATGCTGGGACCATGGGTGCTGGGTGTAGGCGGGTGGCTGCGGTGCCGGCTGCTGCCAGGGCAGGGGGGGTACGGGCATGCGTGAGGGGCTGCCCCACGGTCACGGGTGAGGCGGGGCTGGGCACTCACCTGGGCTGGTCTTTCCTTTTTTTAAAAGACATGTTTTTGTTGATTTCAGAGAGGAAGGGAGAGGGAGAGAGAGAAGCATCAATGATAAGAGAGAATCATGGGTCTGCTGCCTCCTGCACGCCCCGCACTGGGGATGGAGCCCACAACCCGGGCACGTGCCCTGACCGGGAATCGAACCGTGACCTCCTGGTTCATAGGTCAACGCCCAACCCCTGAGCCACGCCGGCCCAGCTGGTAACACAGTTTAGAGTCGTCATCCCCGCTGAGCTGGGTGGACGTGAAGCCCAGAGCCCGGGCCGATCGGCTCCCGGGGAGCAGGCGGGTTTGCCCCGTACACAGGTGCACGTGTACCCCGTGCCGTTGAGCCACGCGTGGGGCCCGGGCCAGGAAGAACCAGCTGCCCAGCCCTGGGCCAGTTTCCACTGGGCAGAGGGACGTGCAGGCTTGTCCCCTAAGGCCAGCGTCCGGGTCCCGGCCACCTGTCCTCCTTCCTAACCTGGTGTGAAGGAGCCGCCACGCGGTCATCTCCGCGAGGGACGCTGGGCCCCGCCTCCTGGCACAGTGCCCGGCGCACAGTAGGCATGGCAGGACCCTTGAATGCGTGAACGAAAGAACACAGGGTGAGATGAGCAGGCCCCCCCAGGGCCGCCCCTGACTGACCCTGCTCTCCTGGGCTGTGCAGCAGGACATCCTACAAACAGGACTTGCTCGGGCTGGGCGGCCACCGTGCGGCCCTGGGCTGGTGAGGGGAGCAGGGTCAGCTGGGGGGCGGCTCCAGCCTGGGAGGGATTAGGAGCCCCCCCCCCCCCCCCCCCCCCCGCGGAGGCTGGGGCCTGCTGTCCCAATGGCGGGTTTATCAGCGCGAAGGTCCCTGTATCAATGGCCCTGGACCTTTATCGCTTCTTAGGGCTTTATCTCAGCAGCCGCCTTGAATGAGGATTAATATTTTAACAGGATTATGTGCTGCTACAGCGCTCTCTGGGGACATGGGGCACTCTCCACCCTCACAGCCTCTCCCCTCCCTCAGCCTCGGGGGAGGGGGGGCGGGAGGTGCGGGTCTCTGGCTGGGCCACCTTTTTCAGACTCTGGAGTGGGGTGGGGGAGCAGGGGATGGGGGATCTGGGGGGGCTGGTTTGTCTCAGAGAGCAGGTGAGTCATGGGGGGGGCGGCCTGGCAGCGAGGTCTCCATGGGCACTGCAGACTGTGTCCTGGGTCAGCAGCTGGACCGCCGTGGGGAGAAAGGAGGAAGGTGAGGCTGGAACGAGTGAGAAAGAGAGATGGGGGGGAGAGAGGGAGAGAGAGAGAGAGAGAGAGAAGGGGGGGAGAGGGAGAGAGAGAGATGGGGGGGGTGAGAGGGGGGGGAGAGAGAGAGAGAGAGATGGGGGGAGAGAGAGGGAGAAAGAGAGATGGGGGGGTGGAGGGGAAGAGAGATGGGGGGTGTGAGAGGGGGAGAGAGATGGGGAGAGGAGAGGGGAGGAGAGAGGGGAGAGGGAGAGAGAGCAGGAGAGGCTGCTTTTCGGCCGCCCCCGTGGCCCAGCCCCTCAGCCCCTGGGCGACGCGGCCTCCAAATCTCCCAGCGCCACACCTTGATCTTTCACCTCAAAAGATTTTCAGTTTGCACCAAAGGTTTTTCTTTTTTCTTTTGTATTTTTAATGTGTTTTTATTGATGTCAGAGAGGGGAAGGGAGAGGGTGAGAGAGAGAGAGAGAGAGAGAGAGTGACATCGATGATGAGAGAGAACCACAGATGGGCTGCCTCCTGCAGGCCCCACACCGGGGATCGAGCCCGCACCCCGGGCCTGTGCCCTGACGGGGAGTTGAACCGTGACCTCCTGGTTCATAGGTCAACGCTCAGCCCCTGAGCCACGCCGGCCGGGCCTGAACCACAGTTTGATGAACGTGAGCTGGCCCTGCCCTCACTTGGGTTCTGGGGCTCCCTCCTGGGCCCACACCCTGTGCTTCCACCGACGGGAGGGGCCCCCTCTGTGCAGGGCCCGCCTCTTGGAGCCGCTGGCCCCCAGGAGACAGGGCAGGGCCACGGGGGTGGGGGTGGGAGTGGGGGGGAGGGCTGCAGGACCCATGCGTGCTGCCACCCCCTTTGCAAGTCGAGTCCCCGCGGATCCCCTGGTCCCCACGCAGTGACTCTGTCAGGCCCCCCCTCAGCCTGCGTCGCCGTGGTCCTCACTGTTCCCGGGTCCTCCAGGGGCTCGGACTCAGGCCTGGAACCTTCCAGACAGTTTTTCCTGCGTGTGCGGCTCTCAAAGCTTTCTGTTGTCCAGCCACTGAGCTCTGACGGGCAGGGGAGGGGGCCGCAGGGCAGCGTCTGGGCCTTTCCAGCCTGGGGGGGGGGGGGGGGTGAGGGCCGCGGCTCTAGGAGGTTCGAAGGTGGGGGTGGGGCGGGTGCTGACTTTGCCGGATGCCAGGTGCCATCTGTTTATGGGGCGGTTATGCCCGCGCCCCCCCCCCCCCCCCCCCGCGGCTGGGGGGCAGCTATCTCCAGGACGGTCTGTTTTACAGCCACTTGATAGTGAAGAGGAACATTCGAGGCAGATAAGCGACTACCTTTGGCCACGATGGTGGATAAGGGGCGGCCGGGATGTCCCTGCCAGGTCTGCTCCTCCCAACGCATCACCCCATCCGGGCTCAGGGGCGCGGGCCGCCTGCAGTGAAGGTCCTGGGGCAGGTGGTTGCCCGCACCGGCCCTGCCGCCGGCCCAGCGTGGGTGACCGGCCCAGTGCGCGGGGCCATGGCAGGTGCGGGGGGGGCCGAGCTGGGGCTGCGCTTGCCGGCCACCAGGACCCGCGGGCCTGACGGACGATGGGGAGCAAGAGCGTGGGGCCCTCCTCGTGCCCCCGCCCCGGGGACCCCCACGAGGAGTTGTGTCCATCAGCTCAGCCTCCTGAACCGGCCACCGCGGCCCCGCTGCTCAGCGTGCGCCCCGAGACCCTC